ATGAATATGCAACAAATACGATACCATCCTTTCTGACTTCCTTTCTCTCAGTAAAGCTATCTTAAGAAATATTCTGGTCAGAAATGTACACCTATTTAATTAATCTTCTTTGATGCAGCATTTTCTCCTGTGAAAGAAATTCTTTCATATTATAAGAGATCAATTTGGGAATGTAGCTAAAACCCTGTCCTCATTTTTATAAGCAAAACTTTTACCAGAATAATCCTCAGTGTCTGAATCCTCTGTTGTGAGTTGCATTGCTGGTTGTGGCTCAGCCAGTTTGAGATCATATTATCCCTCCTTCCCCATTCAGTAAGAATTTGTACTTCCAGTGTCCCACTGCACTCTAAGCCAGCCATCTTCTCCCAGTTTTCCAATCACACATTCCAAGTCTGAAGGGGGTCCATCCTGACAGAAGAGAGCAGCTCAAGTTTCACAATCAGTAGAAAATTCATAAAATAATAATACTATTGCTCTTATTTGCTGCTAACCTTCAACAATGTTTCAAAATCCAGCATAATTTTGGAAAACATGTTACAATCTTTAAAAGAAATTAACCTAGTAGACTGCAGCAACATTCATGTTTGGATCTATTTTACTATGTACTGCATATGTGCCATACATGCCTAGTTGGAAGTGCATAATACTGAGACAAAGAAGTGATAAAATTTCCTGTAAAACTGTGAATCTGAACAGTGTTACTAAAAAAGAATTTTCATCTCTAAAAATGATGTTAAAATTAATTAATGTATTTTATGTTAATACTCCAGGTCTTTGAAATGTAAAATGACTTTTAAAGTTTGAATATAAAATTCACACACAGTCCACTGAATAGAGACTTTAGATTTAAACATATTAAACCTGTATGAAAGAAGTTGTACCTGATCATCCCATTTCCACTCTACCCCTCTCACCACTCTGATACCAATTTTTGTCATGACTTCCAGCTCTGGTCCAGAAACAGAGAGCTTAAGAGTTGTAGCTGACTTAGCAGGTGATCCAGTCTGACAAGCTTTTAGGAAACTAGGATATGATTGTTTTGTATGCACAGGACTTTAAATACTTACTTTTGAACAAAAATAAGTGACAAATAATAAAGACATTATAATGCTGAGTCCAGTGTCTAAATGGTTCTACTAACAGATTCTTTTTTTTGAGAAACTTCTTATGAGCACTCCAGTTAAGTAGAAGTTATGAGAACAAATATTTGCTAGTGAGGAAGAAAACTAAGAAAGAAAAAGCAGGAGAACTTGAATCATGACAAAAAACACCACAGAACTTCTTATAACAGAACAAACAAAGGAAGTTTCCAGCTGAAATATGCAGACTAGAACTGTTTTAAAGGCTAGAAAAAAAATAAACTGAATGAGTAGGGAGTAGGCAGTTTAATGTTTTAATTTTAAATTTTACACTTCTAATTTATTTGTAATGTTTCCACCAAAACTACACTATCAGTCCTAAATTCTAGCAAAGGATGGCCAAAACAAAGGCTTATGAGAAAAATAATGAATGAATAAAGGCTACAGTCAAACTAACTTCCTTCTCAATCATGCTTACAGATGTGGCTTTTCTATCGGGGCAAAAGTGAATAGCATTAAGTACTACCTTTGCGCAGCAAGGTCATTCTGTAGTCTGGGTACACCAACAGGTAAAACATACAGAAGATTCATAAAAGGTGCTCTCTTCCAAACAAGAAACCTGAAGTTCTGGTACCTATTAGTCGCAGTGTAAAACACTGGAAGCAAGTTAAGGGGGAATGAGGGGAAGTGGAACAACGCATGGACAGAAAATGAAGGTATTTCTCAGCACAAACCAAGGGAACTGATTTTAGAATCCCAGTAATTTGGATCTTTATAAAATGGTACAATACGAATTTAAAACTCTCTTTTCTCCCAAGTCACCAGCAACAAAATGAGACTCTCCTAGTTCTTTAAATTTTGCATTACCATCTAGCAAGATGTTCCGGACATTCTGAGTAGCCCTCACACACAACTTTCCAAAAGTTACTTCTAACAGCATTCTGTTAAATGGTGGGATGCAATCAACATCCTTCAAGCAGTTGGTAAGAGGTTCCCTACGTAGGAAAAAAACAAAAATAGGTATTTTTCCTTTTTCTTCAAAAGCACTTCTGTGTTTCTTCACAATAGTAAGTTATTTCCAGTTAAACAGTTCTTTGACTACACTGCTTTAATAAAACCTGATTTTTAATAAGATGTACCCCATCCGTTGCCACCAAAGATGGTGAAGTGTAAATTGATCCATGACTGAAAAACAGGAAGTCCTGCCTGTGGCACTAGTCTCAGAGCCAGGCATTGATCTGCTGGCTCTTTCTGTTTATCTCCTCAGATCTCTCTACAACTGGTGGGATAGAGGAGAACACTACTTGTGCTCCCAAATTCTTAATCAGCTGTCCCAAGCCATTGAAGTCCCTCTTCATTTCTCTCAAACTACTTGCTGCAATCTCATCACTGCCTACCCAAAAGACCATCAACAGGTAGTAGTCAGAGGGTTTAACTAGGATAGAGAGTTTTCTTGGAATGTACTTGTCCCTGACTCCTGGGAGGCAGCAGACTTCCCTGAGGAGTGGGTCTCGTCTGCAAATGGGATCTTCCACTCCCTTCAGAAGTGAGTCCTTTATGACAAGGAACCCATCTGTCTTTCTTAATTGAAGCTGGTTTATGCGTGGATTCAGCTAATTGAGCCTTGGCAGTGCCTCCAAGCTAGACAAGTTCCCTTCTTGCTCATTATTCAGTTCCCCTTGCAGAACATCATATCTGTTTTGCAAGGGCACCTTGGAAGGTGGCGCAGTTCTGGGAGGAGGGAGGACATGCCTGCCATGCCTGTTGCACCAGGTAGAAACATGTTTCCATTCTTGTTGTTCCCTATCCTCTAAGTCCACTTGTTCGCTATGTTCAGCCCAGTGGAGAGATGCTGGGGACCCCTCGTCTCACAAGCTTCATTCAAGCATTGGGCCTGTCTCAGGTAAGGTAGGATAAAGCTCTCAATCTCATACTCCCTGATCGTTCTCAACCTACTTACCTCCTCCCTGAGCTCCATCACTATGCAAAGGAGCTCCTCTACTGGGCTCACCGCCCACTGACATCCTCACAGCTGTCATCAGACACCAGCATAAGAGTGGGTACACCCTGCAGCTCCACACCTGGGTGGCAGCATGCTCCCACTGGAGCTCCATCTGACAAGCTCTGTCTGTCTTGGTGGGGGCATGTCTCAGGGAGGCCACAGGTCTCTGCCAAGTGGAAACCATTGCTCACCGGCTGATCTGGCCGAGACTTAACTCCCTTCCTGCACACTCTACCTGCTCACCCTGCCTGTGCAGACTGCCATGCCGCGCTCTTTTGGGTCTGCTTTTCTACATGGGTTGTTAACCGCTGTCACTCTTCTTCTCGCGTACAGTTAGTCAGCGCTGACTCTCGTCAAGAGCTCATGATTCCCTCTCAGGGGACAGGAGGGACACCCTCTCTCCAGAGAGCCCTCTGGAGCCCTTCACCTCGGTGACTGACACACTTAATAGATTCGCAATTTGACAAACTTCATCTTAGCTCAACTGGAGGTGAGCAGGGTCTATGTATACTACTAAAACTTAACATGGAAAGTAATGCTTTATCAATTTTTGGTAAGAATACTTCTATTTTTTTTTATTTCTCCCACTCAAAAAGTCAAAAGAAAAGACTGTACAGTTACAATATTAAGTGAAACATGCAAGTTTCATCCATTAGGAGTACTCAACCACTCCTTTCACAAAAAGTAATTCTGAAATAACTTTTTCAATTGTTTTACTATAGCTTTTGGAGAATTTTCACCAACACCACTGTCACCCTTCAGCAGCACTTTTTGTGAACTGAACTACTGAGGGCTTACCTTCACAGTGTGATCCTGAATGTTATTATCTGCAAGAGCTTGGAGAAAAGGTTGTGAATGGTCGCTTAAAGGTAATCAATGTGTATATAGTTTTGATTTATTTGGGATAGTGTTACCAGGTGAACTACGATGGTCTTAATCTTTTTCCTCATTGTGACTGTAATGAATCCGACTAGTTTGCAAGCCTCCGGAAAAGATAGATTACTTCAACCATTCTAAAAGAAAGAAAAGACAACACAAATGAATATTCTGCTGAAAGTTTAAGCTATCAAGACTCAACAATTCCTTCAAATAAAATGCATACACATCTTTAAACAAGGCTTAGCAGCTCCTCCATTTGCTGAAAATTTTTCACAGGAAAAAGAGGGTTTTGCAACTAAGAAACAAGTAACAGGGCAGCCATCACGTGTTTAAGAGATAATAGGGTCTTAGGTGTGTTTCTGTGATTAATATTTAATTATACCCTCTGCTCAACACATTAAGATACCATACAAGATAGACTCCAACACCATATGCACTCAGATGCACTTCAGGCACAGTTAACTGAACACAAATTAGTATGATAACTGTGCTACACAGAGTCTCCTTTCTATTCTAATATTCTACCTTGTATATTACAAAATTCTGGATATTTAGCTGCTCAAAATTATCTAATCCCCATTTAAGTACTGCTAAATTACCGGACCTCGATGAGTGAGGTGATTAATGTTAAGAATAAAGAACTTCTAAAGAAGACGGCAAAACTAAAGAGGTGCAAGATTTCCAGTTAATTTGGTCTGTGTCCCCCCCCCCCTTTTTTTTTTTTGTATGCTTTGGCAAGTACTTATCACTTATTTAGACTCAAAATGAAGTTCTGCTTACTGGCACATTTGGTTTCCAGGTAGGAAGTGTGCAGTCCATGGAGAACACCCAAATTCCTTTCTGTGTCTATTAGAGGTGATGACAAAGTACTGAGGTCTGGTGGTGTAATCACTTCCTGGTCGGCTAATTGAAAGAAATAGGAGTTGAAAGCTAGAACTGAGCTCCAACAAGAATTTTGACTGAGCTCCAACACGAATTTTGAAAGCAAAGCAATACATCACTTCAGAAAATGTGTATCCATTAATCTATAACAATTTTACCTCCATATACTGGCCAACACAGAGAGCATGCATTGACTCCTGTGTGTCCTCAGATTGCAAAGCAGCTTTCAAAGCAACAACTGGATCCTTACCTGCAAACTGAGCTAATGCAAGAATAAAGTAGTCAGTATAATATCTAAAAACTTGTTTATGCCACTTAATTTTGAAACAGAAGTAATTTGTGTCTTTAATTCAGATGCTGATTTTCATCAAGTATGCTACTGCCAGTTAAGGACTTTATATCACACATTTTCCCATCAAACACTGTCTAAAAATCATCCATCTTTGTTGTGGTCCTCTGGATCAACTTTATGTATAAATGTCACCTCCTCATTATTTCTGCAACTCTGGCTACTAAAAAATGAATCTGCAAGTATAATACAGAATACAGAATTTATCAACAGAAGAACAGAAAGTAATTTTTTTTCCTAAAAACTATTTTAATAGTTGTCTAACCAAATTCATCACCTCAATTAAAAGGCTGCTTGTTTTTTGATATGCTCAAAAGTCAAAATGGCTATTAATATGTTTCTGTCTATGTACTATGCAATTAAATTGTCTGTAGGTTGTATTCTTTTATGCAGTATCTTCCTGTGTCACACTGTCAAAGACATTGCTCAGTCATACAGCTGTTTTGTTTGGAGGTGGAGCAGGTGTTCTGGTAAATCACTGCTTTAGACAGTTCTCCCTCAAAATTACTTCAGTTTTATTACAGGTTTACCTGGAAGCATGGCATTGGCTGGATATTTAATTTCAGTCTAAATCCAGACTTTTTAAAATAAAATAATGTTACATACACATTAGAACTCTTCTAATCTATGTGAAATTATTTCAAGCTAAAGGTAATTTAATCCAGTCAATAAACATTGTTCAAACACATGTGTCTTCATCTTGGTTTGCTCTATCAGATCAGTAACTGAATTATCACTTAGATTTCTCTCTTTCCAACATACAACTGTCTAGCACTGTGACCTTTAGTTCTCTTGGGTTATGCCATCCATGTTTCATTCCTTCCTCCACTAGTAAAATGCTCACAGTCAGAAATGCATATTTTCTCTTTCTCTTTTTTACCCTCTTTTTACGGCTCATAATATGAAGAGACTTGGGAAAAGAAAACTTCCTTACTTCAAAGCTTGCACATTACTCTCCCTTTACTTTACAGACAGAATTTAGTAACAGAATGCACAGATGTACTAGTCATGTTTTTGCTGCAACTTTTTACTTCAAAATGCAAAATTATGTGATCTACTTCCTTCTATTTGTGCTCTGCATAATCATACCTCTATACATTCCTTAAGAATTTGACAGAAATAAATACTGCCATATGAATTAGTCAGTAAAAAAAAAATCATACTGTAAAGTAGAATTGCCTTCCTGAAAGCAGTCCATGAACAGTGACCACTTTTATATAGCTACATTATGAAAATATAAATGCCCAGATGCTACTAGTACATACCCATTATTCCTGGCCATGCTAAATTCTCATTGTCATCCCTTTCTTTTCCAGGGGATAAATGGTTAAATCTGTCTAGATGTTCTAGCAAGCCAGACAACAGAGGAATAGCACCAACTTCCTGCATTAGTCCAGCATTTTTACTGAGGAGTAGCACTATAGAAACCACCAATTCTGGAAGAAGAATGCCTAAAACACAGAAACACAGAAGATACACAGATTTAATTAATGACCTGTGTTCATAGCATCATAGAAGTACATCACCAAGGAATATATTCTGCCTTCTGTTACTGCTTCAGTACAAAGCTCTTGCCTTCCCTATCAAATTTGCCCTCCTTCTCTCCCATCAACCAAAAGAGTAAATGGATTCTTTATTAGTAATCTGAAACTCTCAAGAACATTTACAATATAACTTTATGATTTTGTGAAAGAGGAGGAAAGGAGCACAGCAAAGAAAAACCTGTCTGTTGAATCTCCATCCACAACATGAGATACTTCTGCAAAATGCCTATGACTAGTAGAAGCAATGCTGGTTGCCACAGGAAAAATATCACCAATGTGTGTGCTCAGAAGAGCTGTTTTATTTCTTCAATAAAGAGCCAAAGCCTAAGAGGTCAGGACCTGCACAAAAAAGAGGAAGAGCACAGGAAACCACCACATAGTCATATTTAAGAAACAGTCTTCAAAACCTGTCAAGCTCTTCTGAAATGCAGCCACTCAGTATTAGCTCTGAATTAAGAAACCACACTTTTAAAAACTTTTAAAAAGTTTATAGAAGATTTATCATCTAGGTTCTGTTGCCTTCCATAAAGAACGTTTCCTTTGCAGAAAACAATTTAAACAAACTACTTTCAAACACTTTTCATACAGACTCAGTAACTAGGCTGATAAATGAGATAAGAAGATAAATTAAAATAAGAAACTGCTGTCCTATAAAAGAGGTATTACAGAAGTGCTTGGGGGAGATGGGGCTTATATTTTTTTTTAAATAACTTGCTGTATGTATTAGGGACCTGCCCAACACAAGCTTATGGGTAAAGTTTACTAATAAGCAGATGCTGAAAATGGAGCAACAGGTCCAGAAAAGCAGATCTCTCATTGCTATAATGTTCATGGTCTACACAGGAAGAAATACAACAATCAATATGTTTTAGTTTGATTGTTGTCTGTGAAGCAATGTTCCTAATTGGTATAAAAGTATTGTAAAGCACTTAAAGGGAGCTAATAGCCAAAACAGTCCACAGAAACACAGGTTGAGCTTTTGCTAGAATTTCATACAAATATATAAGAAACCTATGCAACATGTCATTGTAGGATGTCCCCTTCTTTGCGTCATAGTACTCAAAAAGTCAATGGCTTTTGTGGAGACATTTTGTTCAACGGAATTCATAAAATATATTAATTTTTTGTATCTTGTCATCACTCACTACAAAAAACATAATCTAAAAATTTTTACTGAAAGGTTGCACTGAAAGTCATGACACTATGTAGTTCAAAAGTCTTAGTACTGATTGAATCATATGGTTATAATCACAATTAAGTGAAAAAGCACAATAAATTTCTTAGTAATTTCATAATTACTTCCTGCTAAATATGCTATGTATTAAATACTGCTGTATCTGACAAAGAAGCTCTGATCTTAGCACCCTGTTGGTCATGCATTCACAATTCTTTTTCAGTGTCAAGCATTTGAAATTCAGTTTTCCTTCCTACTTATAGTCCCAACTACAGTGTCCTTGAGGTGAAATACTCAGTTCTAAATAAACAGGGCAAAACATTCAGTTCTAAATAAATCCGTGCTGATTCTCATATTTTGTAAGGACAGGCTTTTGAATGTTTGTCCTATATTCGTTACACAGAATTTCAGAGTACAGGAAGAAGTATCAAAATCCATAAAGGCAAGGCAATAATATTTTCTAAAATCATGTAATTAAGTATAGAACTTTGGTCCTTATTTTGCAAACATAAAATAGCACAACTGTAGACAAGCTTGGAGAATGTTCAGTATTTTCAGACAATGTAAATTAGCCTGTGCAGTGCTGTTTGCTGTCACTTAGACCACTTTCACCATAAATCTGAAGTTGGCTCAGGCACCTCTGACCTATGCTATAACATAAATGTGCCCTAGGAGACTTGGTTAAGAAACAAGAGGTCCTACAAGTTTTTAAATACAACAGAAAATGCTAATGCTAGACTATGCATTACATGCATCATAAACCTCCCCATTTACCAACAGTGGAAAGAAACCAGGAAGCAAATAGATGAGGAAGAATTAAACAAATGAAGAGGCAAGGAAAATGCACGTCTGTTTTCACAGCCATGCATAAATATGGCAATTTAAAGCAGTCTATGCAGAGGATGTCCCATCTCTGAGAGGCTAATGGAGAAAACAGTATATACAGAATGCTTTTTCATCCTTTGTATAACTAGTCAGCATCTATTAAGCATTTGAAATAGCCTGAAACAGAACCTATGGAAATTTGGGATGCTGCAAAGAATTCATTCCTCTGAATTCGTAAGGTTGAAATTTCTGCTGGAGAGATACAGATGACATTAAGGAAGTGAGGAAATTCAGAAACCCTCAGAAAGGTAGAAGGCACTTCGTAAAATTTTGCTCCTATTACAGAGCTTTATGAAAAAGTTTGTTACTATTGTTAAAATCATCACTTTAGGCCAAAAAAAAGGAACACTCTACTAAACAGGAGAGTACGATTAATGCTTCCATACAAGTATCTATGCTAGGTCAAGTTTCAGGTCTAAAGAGGATAACATCAATCCACAAACTTCAGAAAACACTTGATACATCTTCTTACTCGGTTTACACAGAACTGCAAAACTGCTGAAGCGTATCCGGATTTCTGCAGTAATGGCAGCATTTAGTGCAAATGCTAAGCCTCCATCAGCCATCAAGCTGCCCATCAAGAGGTCAAGCAAAACTCTATGAATGAAAACAATATACAAAGTTCAAAAATTACTTCCCAAATATAAGATGACACTGGTTAAAGATGTAAAGATGTAAAGCTAACGTCTGCCTTTGAAGAGTAACAGAATATACAGAAACTGTATGGGCACATCTGTTGAAGAGAATTGTCTACCTGTATCCTTGTAAACATACATAAAACCCTAGCAATCCCAGAAAAGAACTCTCTTACCACATTTTCCAAAGTGTTGTTATGCCTGTCTAGATACCTCACTATCTTTGCTGCAGGAAGCATTCTGCTTGACAACTCTTCAATTGCTGTACCAAGCAAAAACAAAACAGGTAAATAACTACTTCTTGAAATACCCAACAGAAGGAAAGCTAATCATCTCTTTTTGGCAGAGTAATTGCACAAGATTTATCAGCTTTTAAATATTGCACATCACCATAATCAACTATATTTTAAAAGAACAACTAGCTTCCAAGAACTATTACTTTCTAAAGAATGACTTTAGGACTTAAAGTTACACTGTGAAATTCAGGCTTTGAATCTGTCTCACCCTAGGCACCCTAGTTGGAGGACTGAATGTGCAGTTCTGTTTTGCCAGAAAAGACCATATATGGCCAGAGGTCATACAGAGCTAATGTGGGGTAGGGGCTCATGACCACCCCTCTCACATGATGGCACCTGCACAGCAGACCAATGTAGTACAGGGCCTGAGGAGCAGGACCCTGAGTACTGCTCAAGTCATGACCATAAAAGGGGTAAACAAGGACTGGAAAAACAGGAGTTTCAACCCTGAGAAAAGCAAGTTCCAGGCACCCTGCTGAGAAAGGCCTTAGGAGCTGCGTCTGAAAGGGAAGAGGTGTTTGTTAGTGTAACAGTGGATCACTGACCAATCAAATGCAGCCATGCGCAAAAGAACCAATCAGTTTAAAATACGCAGCCAATGTAAGCATATATAAGGAAGCAACTGCACACAATAAACCAACATTTTGCTTGCATCAAGCTGTGTCCCGTCTCTCAATTGCCGCAAACCAAGAGTTATATAAGACCTCTAGGGCCTAGACTGTACAAAAAAGCACTGACTCTGAGAGCCACATGCGTGCACCCACCCACCATTGGAGGTTTGCCCTGTCTGTCACTGTAATCATGGAATCATTGTGATATCCAAGAGGGGTGATATATTTCCTTATCTCTTTTCTATCACTTTTTCTTTTTTCCTCCTTGCAAAAAGTTTTCACTAAGAACCCACACTGCCAACCACTTTTACAGTTTCCAAATTCAAATTGTTCAAATTAAAATGTTTAATTGATCGTTTGGTGTCAGCTCACCATAATTTAGCCTGAGAGGATTTACAGAACTTTAGTTGCTCTCCTCCCAGTTCTGACACCAGGTCCACAATCAAGATAACCTTGCTAGAATAAACATTCCTGCACTCTCACAAGCCCTCAACAATTAGTGTGACTGACCAGGTTTGGTTCTCATTATTGCCTCCTTTATAATTTGTCGGTCAGTGTTATGTCCTTGTGTGTTCCTGTTAATGGCTTCTTCCTTTTCTCTTTTTCTTTTGCTGCATTGAAAAAGTTAATTAACTGGATACCCTTAAAAAAGCTGACACTTGCCTTCCACATACTTGTACTGTAGCCATTGTGGAACATAATTTTGTATCTGCCAGCTTAAACCCTTTGCCCATTTCCTGGCTCTACTGATGTCTGCAGTCTTGATTCCTACCATAACACTCATACTCCTTTCTCTTTCTTGCTGCTATTCATCTTAGCCCAACTTCTTTTCATGTATTTCTCTCACCCGATCACAGTTAAGTCTTCAGTGTAGTTATCCAAGTTGCTACTTCCTGCCTGTTGACTTCCTGTTGTAATTTCCTATTCTATTGCTCTTCTCAGCTAGTTTGGTTTTACCTGTTTTCAGGCTGGTGCTTGTACAGTTTGTTTAGTCCAAGATGTCTGTCACTTCTTTGGCAATGATTAAAAACATATCCCATGGTGTAAAAGAACGGAAGAACTCTTCCTCAGACCTGCTTTCAATGATTTGCAGAATACTTTGGTTAGTGGCATTGGGAGTTATTAACAATCAATGAATTTTTCTAACAGAAGGGTTTCAATATTTTTTCTGAATTACTAAGTTGTAGTATCGGCAGCATTCTCTAGCAAGAATCTCCACAGCTTAATTGCAAGTTGTTTGGAAAAAACCTTTGTTTTTTGATTCTTTTTGTTAGTTTGTTTGTTTTCATTGTTGTTTTCACTTTGAACCTGACACCTAATAATCTCTTTTGATTCTTACTGTATTGGAAGAAAGTGAACAGTTGTTTCTCATTCACCTATTTCATGTCACACATAATACAAGTCTGTTGTATTCTACAGTCTCTCTTCTATATAAGAAATAGTTGAAGTGTTATCATCACCATCTTGACTGCTTATTCTACTCTTAACAAATGTAATTTATATTCCTTTAGTGTCTTAACATTGTCAATGTCCTTGTTCTGTCAGCCCAGTCCTTCTGCCGCCTTTCTACAATTCATGGTGTGTATAGAAGTAGTATATCCTAAAGGAAGAAGAATTAATCAATGATTCTTTACAGTCAGCATAGTGACTAGAAGAAAGAGCTACCATAAAGAGTAGAAACAAATCCTCAGTTTGATTCCTCACATCTGCTCCAAAAGATCATCAATTACTTTTTATCCCACAGTTGTTTTTTTTTCTTTTCAAGAATGTTAGTTTTGAACTTTTTTCCTTGAATTCAGCCTTCAAGACTAGGCACTGGAAAAGGAAAATTCCCCTTCCAACTCAATATTCTGAGCAGCAGTATGAGCTAACCATTGGGACACCATGGCTAAGCTACTACCCTCTGAAATTTAGAAGTCAATTTAGTACCAAATTATATGTTTAAATGTACACATCTTACATAAAAATGTTTATCTAAATTAAAAAAATATATATCACACACAAACAGATATATATGAAAACACATATAAAACTAAAGAATGTACATGTGCCAAGTTTGAATTTCAGAAAGAAAATTAGTCTTTGTCTGCATTTTTGTCTATACAGAAACTTAAGGTATTTCCAAAGACAGCTGCAAAGGAAATGTCTGTTTCATTGGCTAATACCTCCCTCGGATTAAATTCTTAGCATTCTATTGATACTGTAAAGCTGAAGGGCTAGATTTAAAAAAATTAAATCCCAAATGCATTTAGTAGGTCTACTTTCTAAAGAATAGTAGAATCTGTTTCTTTAACATGTCTTGATTTTCTGTGCTAGGTTCATGGGTCTTAGGAATAGAATCATAGAATGCCAGGTTGGAAGGCACCACAAGGATCATCTAGTCCGGCGATTCAAGGTAAAAGTACAGTTTAAATGAGATGAGTCAGAACACTATCAAGCTGATTCTTAAAAAAAGTAAAACTCTTTAAAAAAAAGTAACATTATTTTAATAAATTTATAATTAGTTCATTTAGTCTTTAATTTTTATTCCATTAATACTTATTAGGAAGCATACAGGATCCTAAACAAATACCTCCAAAGTAGGCAGAAGGTCTTGCTTTTTTATTGTGATTATTGTGTGTGCTTATAAAAGCATGAGAAGAAGATAATTATGCACATGCTGCCAACAGGAAGTGTAACAATGCGTGGTATTCAAAATGGCAAAAAAATCAATGTTGATTATATATCTTTCTCATGGACTAGATGAAATTAGGTGTGCAAAATGGGTGTTCTAAAACTGTTGAGCAGGAAACAAAATTAACAACAGCAGGTGGCAGTACTAGCAAGATCTGTGTTTCTGATGTGTGTAATCGGCCAGTGTTTGTATAGTGTCAGCTCTTCAGTAAAAAGTAAGTTAAATACCACAAAATCAGTGAAGTCTTGTGATTTTGGGCTACCTAATAATGAGATACTGGTCAGAGCCTTGTTTCAATAGATTTCTCC